ATTTTAATAATAACTATTAATTCTCAGTTCCTTCCCATCTGCCTGCCTGCCTGCCAAGAGAGAAGGGGAGTTCTCTCTGCTCACATGTGCACTAGACCTAACTGTGTCTTCCAGGGGAGTTTTATGAACTGAATGGAAATCTATAGCTGATAAAAGGAGCAGTTTGGTTAGATTAATTGCAGCTGAAGATCAGGCAAAAAAGTCCACTATCCTATGGATGCATTGCAGCCTCAAGTTTCAGTGGCCCTCCAGCCTGGGGCCTTGCTTGGTCCTCACTCTGAAGGACTCAGGGAAAGTGCAAGAAGAACCTCAGACCTCTGTGTGCTCCTGATAAGACAGTCACTGCCTTTCTACCATAATCCGTCTTCAAAACTAAATGATCTTTTCACTCGGCCTCAGACACTACCTCTGTGGTCCTCTCTGGTCTCGGCATCACCAACAACTGCATCCTCTCCACGATCTCAATGTGAAGCATTTCACCTTCCCAGCACACATTATCTTACACTTATGGCAAGAATGCCACTTCCAGTATTTTTCAACTCCATTAGGATCTATAATCCACTGATTTTTTACCTCACTTGACTCTCTACCCTCCCCATTCTTAATTTCCCTCTTTTCCAGTTTAAATTCCTGATTTATCTTTATAATCATTCCTTTCCCCTCCCCCTTCACCACACGATCACCAGAAATTCTCAACTTGATCAGTCACCCTTCTGCTCCCCCCATGCCTCCACCCCTGTTGCTGAACAATGCGTGTAAACACACAACGTTGCCAATTTCACTTCAAGTGGGTACTTTCTGTGCCCAGCAGTCACACTGCTATTTCTCTGGCCCATTCATCTCCCACACTCAGTTCACTTCTTCTTAAGTCCTCAACACTTCCCTTCCCATCCTCAGCAGATGATTTCTTTCCTAGTTCACTAAGGAAATGAAAACCATCAGGAGACAGTTTCTACAGCCACATTTCCCGCCAACCAGCATCTGTGTCCACATGCTTGCTTGTGCTCCTGTAGGAAGGACAGGTCTGTGCTCCAGTCTAAGCATCCTCATCCTCAACCAGTGAGTTAGGCTCAGTCCCCTCCTATCTCAGGGACACAACTTCAGCAATTTTCCCACTTTCTCTCCTGCACCAATTTCTCTCTTAGATAATTCCATTAGTACACAAACATGACATAATTTCTCTCATCTTAAAACAAAAACTAGAAATGCTGTTCCACCCAGGCTCTTCTGCCAGCTGTGCCTCTACTTTCTTTAACAACAAAACTGCTGTTAAAAACTGCCTGTATATTTGCCATCTCCAAGCTCTCTTCTTTCATGATACCAAATCCAAAGGTTGCTTCTCTGTTGTTTGCCGCATTCGGCAGCCAATCACTTCTTCCTTCTTGAAATGCTTTCTGCGCTTGGCTTCCAGAATAATACACCAGCTCTCTGCCTTCCTCTCTGCTATCCACTTGGTCTCTTACCGGTTCCTGCTTACCTCCATCAAAACTTTGGTGTGATCAATGCTTAAACTCACAGAGGGTTTTATTTATGCTCATTCCCTAGGCAATCTTACCTCATCTCTTGGCTTTAAATACTATGACATGCTGACACCACCCTAATCTAGCCCTTTAGTCTGTGGCAATCTCCTGATTACAGATTTGTATATTCAGCTACTTAGTAACATCTTCAGTTAGACATCTGGCAAGTGTCTTAAACATGCCTGTAAATGACCTACCCCTCAACAACCTGCTCTTCCTCCAGGTGCCCCAGCTCAGTAAATGGGGAGTCTCCACTTCAATTGGCTCAGGCCCCAAACCTTGGAGTCATTGTTAACTCCCACCCACAACCAACCCATCATCATGTCTCATTGGTTCTGCCTTAAAAATGCCACCAAAATCTGCCACTTCTTACCACTTCTGCCTCCATGGCCTTGTCCAAAGCCACCATCACCTCCTGTCCAAATTATTGCAATGATTTTCTGACTGACTTCCCTGTTTCTACCCTTGACCATTCTCAACTCAGTAGCCAGTAGGATCCTTTGTCAGGCCAAAATCTTGCCATTCTACTTAAACTAGAAACCAAAGGCCTTACAGTAGTCTCTGAGAGCCCATGTGGTGTGACCCTGCCCCTGATTTGACCTCACTACTATCATGGGAGCCCCTTGCCCACTCTACTGCAGCTTGTTTCCCAGACATCCCAAACACACCTCTGCTCGAGAGCCTTGTAAGTTACACTCAGGGCTTCAATCCCTTTTCCCCAGTTAGCCCCTGGCTCACTGCCTCTCTCCTCAGATTCCTGCTCAGAAACCACCTCACTGATGCCTCCTCTGAACCAATCTATTTAAAAATGATGCCCACTCCAGCAACCCTGTCTTCTTTAAATTTTCTCCTAAGAAGTTGTCATATCTGACCTCAAATTAAAATAAAAAATCCATGATGACGGGGCTCTTTCTATGTTGAAAGTGAAAGCGGCTCAGTTGTATCTGACTCTTTGCAACCCCATGGACTACACAGTCCATGGAATTCTCCAGGCCAGAATACTGNTAGTTAAGTCATATAACCTCCACGGTTCTAAGTTTCCTCATTTATAAAATAGAGATGAAAATATGCTCCCTTCCCAGAGTCACTGTGTAGGTGACAATGTTATACAAACATAAAATACTGTCAAGCTTCTATATCATGTTAAACTGTTTAGAATCAATTCAACATTTATAGACACTAGTTTATTCTTTTTGTAAACCAAAAAAAAAAACAAACCCCAACTTGAATTATAACCAATTCTAAACTGACCTTTCATCTGTAGAATTTTTAATTGTCTACATTATTAATTATACACATTAGTACCTTAATCATAATATTTAACTGCTGGCCTCATGGCCATATTTAATTTTGCTTTGTATTCCAAGACCTTATCTATTCTACATAGGGAGAGAAGAGACTTGATATCTTGAGATTTGGGATATTTTTTTGACTCTGGATTGTCCTTCCTACAGTCAACAATCAGGCAAACCTGAGGTGGACTCTCACAGAGCAGCAACATGAGACAGATTCCTTAGGAACCTCTATTTATTCTTCATCTTATTTAGGAAATAAAACATCAATAAAAAGTCAAGACAGTCCAAAGGGTATGCAGAGAACACGGACCGCACCAAAGCACAGCTGGAAAGAGTGGTATTTGAAAGAGGAAAGAGGAATCTTCTCTAAATTCTACTTTTATTTCAAGTTACATAACAAGAAATAGAAACACTTCTTTTAAGTTAGTTCAGTTCATCACAGACATGACTTTACCATGATTCAAAATGATGACATCCCCGTTTGTGAGAAAAAATATAAGAAACAAGAAATGTTCTCAATCACCTATAAAACCACTTACTATGTTAACTTCTGTGCTTTCTACAGTACTGTAACAAACTCACTGAGTTAACTGACAACGGGGAAAAGTTATTTCCTGAATAAGGGTATGGTTCTTCTCACCAGATGGGATAAGACGTGAGGTGTGAGCTAAGTGTGCTGTGCTGTGCTTCGTTGCTCGGTCGTGTCTGACTCTCTGTGACCCCATTGTTACCGCAGCCCACCAGGCTCCTCTGTCTGTGGGATTCTCCAGGCAAGAATACTGGAGTGGGTTGCTATTCCCTTCTCCAGGGGATCTTCCCAACCCAGGGATCGAACCCAAGTCTCCCACATTGCAGGTGGATCCTTTACCGTCTGAGCCACCAGGGAAACCCACCAGGGACGTTCACCCTGATTTTAGATCACAGTTTTTCCCCTGTGCCTTGATCTCTTGAAAGCTTCAAGTTAAATTAATTCTCTATTTCAGTAATTATAATAATCCCATCCTTGCTATTTGGAAGTATAATCTCTCCTCTTTATTTCTATAGGCCTCCTCATCTCATTCATTTTTATTGTACTCATGATGCCCTTCTGTGCCAAGTTGATATGGAACATTAGAGTCTCAGTAACTGTTTTGTCATGGCCATGTTTTTAAAAACAGTAACATTTGCTCAGCACTTGGGTGATATGTCTTGTCTAGGATCAGCCAGTGCCAGTGTTAGTGGCTCAGCTGTGTCCAGCTCTTTGCAAGCCCATGGACTATATCCCGCCAGGCTTCTCTGTCCATGGAATTCTCAAGGCAAGAATACTGGAGTGGGTTGCCATTCCTTTCTCTAGGGGAAGCTTTCTGACCCAGGGATGGAACCCGGGTCTCCTGCACTACATGCAGTTTCTTTACCATCTGAGCTACCAAGGAACAAAAGGTCTCAAAAATCAGTCTGTGGTGAAGCCAGGAATGAGGCTTGACAGCCTGGGCCAGCACACAGTGCTGTGTCCTCGGCTCTCAGAGCCACCTGCCCCTCCTTCTGTAACGAGGGTACTTGTAAGGTACCAAGTACAAGTCGAAATCTCCAGAGTTACTTCCTCATTCCACCTCTCTCAGACCAGAGTGTGGGCCCCTTGGAGGCAGGCACCCCCAAGATGCCTACCCCTTTACAGATCTGCTCCACAGTTGGCACAATACTCTGTACACCATAAAGACCCAGTAAGTATTCCCTGACTTAGCAAGGCGAAGAACCAATTACACCAGGTAGAGACCGAAGCACAAAAGGGCAAGGGAGAAAGAACATATTGGTCAGCTAACTGACTGGCGTACTTCCTCTTTTTTATCTTATCAGTCCCGTAGCTATTCTCAAGGCCAAGGACTCGGGGCAGGCCTCGGCCGGCCCTCCGGACCCGAGTTCAGGGACCTGCCTCAGAAGTGTACTGCTGGCCGGCATGGGAGCGGCGGGGACAGGGACTGGGAGTGGGTGGGAGCGACTGGGCGGCCCCAGACGCGGTGGAGGAGGCAGAGTGAGCCTGCGAATTCCCCTCGGCCCACACCAGGGTGCCTGTGCCAATGGAGCCCTGCGTCCTAGCGCCCACCCCGACCACCCCTCGTCCCCCACAGGCGGGAGCCCCCGCACCCTGGTCCGCCCCGGCAGTAGGGGGCGCCGAGGCCCTGGCTCCTGCCCGGGTCCTGCGGCCGCACCCTCCAGCATCTGGACGGAGTGCAGACCGAAGAGGGGGGAGCCCAGGACCGCCTGAGGGGGGGAAGCCGGTTCCGGCCCCGCTTCTAGGCTGCTCCCCAGCTGATCTCGCCCTGGGATCTGAGTCCAGAAAGCAGGAGGAGGAGACTCTGAGGACAGAAATATGGGCCCTGTGGGCTGCGTCTTCCTCCTGCCTCTTCTGTTGGGGATCTCAGGTGAACTCTTGGGGTGAGGAGAGTCCTGGCGGGGGCGTCAGGGGCCCTTGGAAATAAGAAGCCATCCTGGGTGCCCTCCGCACTGCCCCCTTTCTCTCTCCAGGCACAGATGAGGAGGAACCCGAGGATCTCGTCAAGTCAAGTAAGACGCCCCGGTCAGGGTCGGCATGCCCGGGGACACGGGAAGGGGCCTGGTGCCGAGGAGGCCTGGTGGGGAGGGGGTGTTGGGGGGAAGGGTCCCAGGGCAGGCCCCCAGGCCTCTCTCCTCTTCGTCGGCAGTCTGCGGGCGGCCCGCGGTTTTCTCTGGCATCGTCTCCGGCCTGGAGGCCAACGTGGGGCAGTGGCCCTGGCAGGTCAGCATCCGCCAGGGCTTGTCTCACGTCTGTGCCGCCTCCCTCATCTCAAAGCAGTGGGTGCTGACAGTGGCAAGCTGCTTCCAGTGAGTGCGGGCCCTGCTTAGGGGAGACCCATCAGGGAGGTGGGTGACGGGCTCCTGGGCTAAGGGCAGAGGAGTTTGTCCGGCATTGCCTGAAACAGTTCCTAAGAAGGAAGTCCAAATGTTTCCTGCCCTAGCTAGTTCAGTACTAGATAGGTCTTTTCACATTTGAAAATCATCTTGACTGAAATAAATGTCTAAAAAAAGTCCCCCCCCCATCTAATTCCCTACCCACATCTTGACACCATTCTGGGCGCATGGTTCTGAGCTCTCTTCCCTCTCTCTAGGTGGCCGCCCCTATTCCTATGGTTTAAAAGGTCACAGATTGGTTGATAGCATCCACATTTTCATCACCAGCTCCTAACTCTGTTCTGGTGCATTTCTATTCAGCTGTCTCACTGCTATCTCAAAGACAGCATGATCAAATGAGAACTACAATTTTACCGCCACCAATATCCCAAACCTTTCTCTCCCTTTCTTCCCATCTCATGCGATAACACAGCCAGTTGCTCAGAAATATGAAGCCTCACTTTCCCTTACCCTCCACATTCACTGCAAACACCTAATTCTTCAGTTTTACTTCCATAAAATACTCTTGACTCTAGTATAGTTGTCCTTGACCACTGCAACAACATAATAGGTTTTTTTTTTTTTATTGGAATATGATTGCTATACAACATTGTGGTTTCTGTAGTATAATAATGTGAATCAACAATATGTATACAAACATCCCCTCCCTCTCAATCCTGCCTCCCAACCCCTCATCTCACATCTCACCCATCAAGGTCATCACAGAGCACCGAGCTGAGCTCCCTGTGTTAGAAGCAGCTTCTCACTAGCTGTTTATTTTACACATGGTAGTGTACTTATCCATGTTACTCATTCAATTCATCCCACCCACTCTTTTCCCCCTCTGTGCCCACAAGTCCCTGCTCTGTCGCCTCTATTCCTGCCCTGCAAATAGGTTCGTCAGTACCAATATTCAGTATTTGTTTTTCTCTTTCTGACTTACTTCACTCTGTATCACAGGCTCTAGGTTCATCTACATCACAACAACTGTTTTTAGCTACCTTTATACACACAACAAAGTGATTTTTTTTTTAATCAGAAGCAAAATCATGTCATTCCTTCCTTCGAATCCTCCAGTCACTGCTCAGGAACCTAGAATAAAATCTGTAAGCCATGAACTGCTAGGTGTCTGCTCGTCTCTGCATCAGCCCGTTCCACTCCACTCCAGGTTTATTCCTATCTCTAGAAGCTGCCGCGCTCTCCCATCCTCACTGCCTGTGCATACACCATCTCCCTGGGATGCTTTCCCTTCCAGCTCTTCACGTGGCTGGCTCCTGCCCCGTGGGCTTCAGTTCAAAGGTCCTCTCTTCAACAAGACTTTCCCTGATCCAATCCATAGGCTCTTCCCTCATCTTTTACTTTCTACCTTAAAATCCTGTTTATTGTCTTCATAAGGTTTTTCACAATTAAAAATTTGATACTTGTTTACTTGTGTGTTGTCTCTGCCTCCCTCCCTCTCTCCCAAGCTCTCTATCTCTTTTGATACAGACACACAACCCTTGAGACCAAAAGCCCTATGACAGGCAGGTGATGTCTAAGTTTCATTTATATATTCAGGAGATACTAAGCACTTATTGAAGAAACGATGCTTAGCCAGGTGAAAAATACAACCTCCAGAACTATGGGCTCTGCTGGGACACTGCACGACTGAGGCACGAGAAACCCATGCTACTTTTTCTGCTCCTCTTCTTCTCAGGTCTAAGGACCCCAGAAAATATGAGGTACTGGTGGGGTCACTTCAGGTCTCCGGTTACCAAGGCCCCAAAACAGCGGTCATCCCTGTGTCCAGGATTATCCCCTACCCCGGCGTCCAGGGACACGCGCCCAGTGCCATCGCTGTGGCAGAGCTGGCCCGCCCGCTTTCCTTCAGCCCTCTGGTCCTGCCCATCTGTCTCCCGACATCAGCAGTCCAGCTGAAGAACGCAGCCTCCTGCTGGGTGACTGCATGGGACAATCCTGGGATATTCCAGTGTGAGGATAAGTAGATTTTCTGAGCTCGGTTTGCTCCACTGACACCCCCCCACTCTGTCCCACTGCTGGCACAAGACGTGGTGTGCTCTTACTCTCCAGCAACCAGTCCAAAGGGTTGCAGACTTTGAGTTCTCCTCTCACCCCCAGCTTCTCTCTGCCTCCTTCTTACTTCTGCTGCTACAGTTACTTTGCGTATTTACAGCAGCTTTTGCTGCTGTGTCACAATACCTCTAGGACCTTAAAAGTGAATAGGCCAAGGCACAGAACTTAATGAGAAGAGAGTTCTCAGTTCCCCTCCAGTGCCCAGTAGAATGTGTGTGGGCTGGCGGACAGGGAAGCAGACATGAACGTGGATCCTCAGCAGGTCCCGAGTCAGACTGAGAGGATTTCACACGCCAACAGTCCTGACTGTCTCAGTATATCAGATCCACCTTCTTACATTCCATGGAACATAAAAAGTACATGTCAAAGCCAAACAACATAATCTCACATCTTCATTATCGTACGTTTTCCCAAATCAAAAGATTCTTCTGCTCTCTATGGTATCTGAGCAGGAACAACTGCCTTTAGTCTTGTTCAGACCTAGGGACTGCAGCCTTGAGACCATGTGCCAAACCAGAAATCAGAGTACTGCCTATGATGGGGGCAGAAACTTGAAATCAGAGATATCCCTGAAAATCAAAGGTATGAAGCTGTATCCAAAGCTGAAAGTTGCTTCCTAATTTTTAACACAGCTTTGCCTTTTTGATCTTATAGCTATGACACCACCTTACACACTGAAGGAGCTACAAGTGCACCTCATTGATCTCCAGACATGCAAGAAGTATCAGAAAGAAAGCTTGTTGCGAGAAGCCGAGCCCATCAGTGAAGCCATGATCTGTTCCCGGCTCCCAGTGGGGCAGCCAGGCGCGTGTATAGTAAGAATCCACTCCTACAGGCATCTTTCAGAGCCCCTCCTGGCCCCAGTGCTTCCTCCACGTCTCGTAGCTTTGTGGTCCCTGGGTGAATCCAGGGGTGTCGGGACAGGCCCAAACTCCACAGCTCTTGGCTAAACTATTAGTCTCTTGCCCTGTGCATGGCCTCGCCATATGTCCTCTCTCCTTCAGGCCAGTAGAGGAGATCCCCTGATGTGCAGAGTGAAGGACTTCTGGGTTCTAGCAGGAGTGATGAGCTGGGGATCAAACTGCATCGGAATCGACGAGCCTGGAGTATTTACAAACATCAGTTTCTACAAGTCTTGGATTGAGAAGTCAGCCGTCTCATATGCTGACCTTTCTGCTACCCCCAGATCAGACTTCTCCAGGTTCTTCCCGGTAATGCTTCTGCCTCTCATATTCCTGGGGCCACCCTAACTAGCTGAGGGAGAAAGAGGAAATGCTCTAAGTTGAGGATTTTGAGAGAGATTTTGAAGATTCAGCAAGAAAGAAGCAGGTCAGCTCCCTCGAGGCACAGCCCCCAGGAGCCACATCTGCTTGCTGCCTTGTCTCCTACAGGTCAACATGGAAAGCAAGGTGCCCCGTGTAAATAAAGTTTGGTTGATTCTGTTATTTCTCATATTCATTTTTTGGATGAAACTGGAGTCGGGGCCTGGGGAAATACAGAAGCAGAGAACTTTAGGGCTGAAAGGGATCGGGAAATCCCTGACCCAATCAATCCCCCACATTCTACACAGAAGCAGCAGCTAGGGTCCAGAGAGGTGAACTAGCTTGCCCTTGGCTGAATTAAATTAAACCATCCAATCTGGGACTAGACTGAGTTCTAAAGAAAAATCAGGGACTTGGAGGATTAGCAGGTTTCAGTGGAAGCACATTAGGCAAGAGGAGCCTAGTGCAACATGTTAGCTATCTACTGCTGTATAACAAATTACCCCAAAACTGGAGACAACATTTACTATCTCTCAGTGTCTGTGAATCAGGGAGACTTAACTAGGTAGTTCCTACTAACGGTGTTTCAAGAGGCTGCTTGCTGCAAACTGCAGTCATCTTCAAGTTCAACTATTGACAGAAAGAACCTGCTTCAAGGTCACTCTCAGAGGCCTCTCTGTGGGGAGAGAGGGCAGTTGGCTTCATACACAGTGAGTGATCCAAGATAAAGTGACAGAAAACACCCCAAAGGGAAGCTGCAGTCTTTCTATAACCAGAAAGACATCTCATTACTTCTGTTGTATTCTATTCTTTAGAAGTGACTCAACAAGGTGTAAATATCAGGAGGCAAGAATCACTGCAGACACAACAGCCACCTTCTACAAATGCAATAGGGAAGGATCTGGAGGTGAAAACTGGCTCTGTTTAGCAGTCAGACATGAAGCAGAGGCGTGGGGTTAAACTGAAGTTTGGGGAGAGAGTATGTCTGAGTCCCTGTTCATCCCACTGAGAGCACTGCACGGTTGTGTTCAGAGAGGGGTCTAAGAACATGTCTCACTAAGGGCTGTATGGCTGCTTGAATCCCATCCTTTTCTTGATATATGAAGAGTCATTAGGAACATGAGATTTTATGCTGGCCAGCAGTGAGTTAATTTATCAATTTCCTAAGATACTGATTAAAATGGTTCAGGATACTCCATATTACTAGACAAATAATAGTGAGAAATAATTAGGAGTTTCAGGAAGATGGTAAAATGAACAGCAGCAAAGTGAACATTTCTTGCTCAAATTTCATTCAACACCAATGAAATCACTGTTTGAAAATGAAAATTTTCATTAATAACTGCAAAGATAAGACAGTTACATAAAAATAAGGAAGTTAAATCTGGGTGATCAAAAATCCTTCCATATATGAAGAAAATAGTTAAGAACATTGAAAAAAATTAATTTCCCAAATGTAAAAATTATGTAAAATATAAGCAGGATTCAAAGACCAATTACAATCTATACTCAAAAGAACACTGTGCATGTTTATAAGATCTCAGGATTTATTTTTTAGATGATAGCACTACAGAATTGCAAGCAAGGCATAACTGACACTGGAAAAATGCTTCAGCACAAGGTAAACTTATTAAATATATGAGATACTAAATAAGTAAGAAATGACAAAAGAATATGAGTGAAGAGGATGGATCTAAAGATCTATCCTAGGCTGGAAAAGGAGAGAGACTCTTTGTCCGATGAAGATAAATTTTGTATTTATCTAGAAAAACATGTTCTATTAAAGCCAAGAAATCAAGTAAAGAGATTAAAAACAGGTTTTAAAATCATACAATAGTTGAAAGGTACTTTAGAAGTTGTTTGATACAACTCTCAGCTCAAGGCATTCAGTTTGCTCCTTTCACACACCCCATGTCTGATGTGATACTTTTTAATACTGTAGCACTGGGAAAGGAACTAACTACTCACTAACCTTGGGTAACGGGGGGAATGGAACTACACAGCACCATGCTACCAACTGCTCACCAAGATCTTCAAAAACTGAAACTTAACAAGTAAAACATGCACATAATGAAGGAGATGAAAAGAGAGAGTTTTCTGTAGAAAATATCAGTAACTACATGATTCTGTGTTTTAGGAATAAGCTAAACATGGAGATCTGGGTATAATCTCAAGGCAGCATACCAGGAATGAGACCATACCAGACAAAGCTTAAGTGTTACCAACAGTATTTGGTACTAACCGAAGAAAAACATCATTAGGAAGAGGAAGGGTCTCCACATGGAATCAAAGAAAACAAGAGCCAGATGCCTTTGTGTTCATCAGACCCTGGGCTGTGAAAGCAGAGAGACTCTGAGTCAGATGAACATAAGCTTTGTATATATTTAGAAAAACATGTTCTGTTATGGAGAAGCACTCTTTCACCCAGTTCTTTTTAGAAGAAGGGATATTTCATCCTCTTGAGTGAAATGCTTGTAGAGATTTGCCAGTTCCACTTGTTCTGATCTTTGAAGCCTCTTCAAACCATCACTCTTTTACTAATTTGGTTTCCCTACTCAACATGAAGAAGGTGTGCCCAGGTAGGGAAAAATGAAAATGCCAAATGATAAACACGAATAGTCCTCATTGCAAATCAACATCCTGGTTCATGTGCAAGTCTCTTAAATTTTAGTGAGTCAGTCTCTTGAATTTGATCTATTCTAAGTGCTCTGACAAGAATTTCAGAAGCTAAAAAGCTGAGTCCAGAGCCAAATCATGCTGCCTGCCAAAGTGGTTTCTCTGGGTGTCATGACATCTTTCTCTCACCTCCAACTATAGCAGGAACTTGTATTCACTTTATATCTTCTTTGTATCAATTACTATACCGGCCACTTTAAAAATTATCTTATCTCGCCCTAACAACTCAGGAAGGTATTATTTATTCCACTTTTACAAATGAAAAGACACACTCAACAACAACAACTGAGGATCAAAGAGGTTAAGTAACTTGCTAAGTTCACACACGGAATATTTAACAGATTTATTCAGGATTGTCTGACTCAAAAGATTCAGCTCCTTCCACTATACCAAATTACCTCCATTCACTATTAGTAAGCTCTATGAAAGATCTTTGTACAACTCCAAAATCACACCTGCCGTTTGATTCTAGTTATTTGTACCTCTTGCTATATTCCATCAGAAATTGATGGCACACAGCTTTACTTCTTCTGAATAGGTAAGAACAACCTTGAGAAGAGAAAAACTGCTGTCATCATCTTCCTGATCTTCTAACAGTATCTCTTATACTGTCTTGCAAAGAGAAAGTATCAAATCTCATTTTCTAAATAACAAAATGAAAGCCATAGACTAAGAAAGCTAGCTGTCAAAAGGGAAAGGAAAAATTCATTTAGTATAAATTCAAATGAATAAACAAAAAATATCTTACTTTAGTGATCAAAAGAACAGAAGCAACTCCTGCAAAGGGAGACTGATTAAAAGGCAGCAGGACCCAGGGCACACAGGAGGGAGCTCAGAGCAGGACTGGGCCCTACGGAGAAAGTGAGTGCAGGCCAATGAGGCAAAGGGCTGGAAGAGGAACGGGGCTGTCTCTAGAAGGCTGTGCAGGCCTTGGCCCTGACACAAATGCCAAGTATATGGGCTCGTTCCAAGACATGCTGGTTAGTGGAACTATTTCTTGTCCAAGTTCAAGAACTAAGACCAGACTGGATCTCTCAATAGAGGGCATAGCTGTCTGTTGCTGCCAGGCCAGGGCCTGAGACACACTGGCTAGAGAAATCAATAATTCTTTACAAGATTTTCATAAAGGGCACTATCCGTTTTCCAGTGTAAAGGACTGCTCTGATAGAAAAGAGACAATGGAATCCATGTACCTTTCCTGGAACTACAGATAGAAAGCTAAACCCCTGCAAATGTACTGCTGTCCCTGTTTTGTTCCCAGGGTGCCCAAGAGACAACTGCAACCTGAAGTGGCATCCTTACTTTACAGCAGCGGTTCCCAACCAAGGGTGGTGGCTCTGCACTCCACTCCTCCCCACCTGGTGACATTTTTGGTTGTCACAACTCGGGGTGGGTGGTACTCCTGACATCCAGCAGGTTAAAGCCAGAGATGCTGCTTAACATCCCCCAATTCACAGGACAGCCCCCTACAAGAAAGAATCACCTGGCCTCAAATATCCATAGTGCCAAGGCTGAGAAATCCTGGTCTATAGGCAGCATTAACATCAATCTAAGCCATCATCAAGAGGACCTGTCTGATAGAATTAAGACAGGCCTTAAAACTGGGATATTAGTTCAACAAAAACACTAATAAAAACAGTGGCTACTATTTATTGTTTTGTGCTTAAATAGTCTTAAGTACTTGCCCTGTATCTCATTTAATTCCTACCCAAATCTTGTGGGGTATTAGTAATTCCCATTTTGCAGAGATGAAAAGGCAACTAGACAACAAGCCACGTGGCAACTAATAAAGCTTTCACCAACACCACCATGTTGCCACTTCCCAAACCAACAGAGGTATTTGAAGATAACGTTAATGATAACAGGGTAACAGTCTGGGAACAGAAAATCTAGGACCCAAAGACAGGGCATGATGAGACAGACAGAGCTGGAAGAGTTATCTCCAGGAAAATCTCCAGAATGGACATTCAACACTTACTCTTTTGCTTCCATTCATACTTTCTTTCTTAGAAGAAGCAAAGGAGCATTAAAATGGGAGACCCACCCAAAATGTTTCTTGATGGCTAAATCAAAACTAAGAAAGTATTTGTAGAGGGATAACAGAGGCAATAGACAAAGACAAATAAATGCAAATAGATAAGCAATTCATAAATCAATGTTACATCTACAAAGAAACTTTGAGAGCATCAGCTGATTCTAGTGCCTTCATGGTACAACAAGAAAATACAGGCCTTAGGGGAAAGGTGACTTCTTTAAGGTCGTGCAGTCATCACCATGAAAATAACAGCACTGTGGCCTGAAGACCAGAGGAGATTTCTTCAGTATGGTACAAGAGTTTAGCTTTTTGGTCACCCCATGATGCTTGTGGGATCTCAGCTCCCAGACCAGGGATTGAACCTGGAACCATGGCAGTCAAAGTGCCAAGTCCTAACCAGTGGGCCGCCAGGGAATTCCCAAGAGTTTAGCTTAGATTTAGAAAGGACTCATGGGTTCTCATTCTTGTAAGAACGGACATTTGCTTACATAACTCACTATTACTGTTACACCTATCAAAATTAACAATAATTCTTTCATACCATCTCAATTCAGTTCAGTTCAGTCACTCAGTCATGTCTGACTCTTTGCGAGCCCATGAATCACAGGACGCCAGGCCTCCCTGTCCATCACCAACTGCCAGAGTCTACCCAAACCCACGTCCATCGAGTCGGTGATGCCATTCAACCATCTCATCCTCTGTCATCCCCTTCTCCTCCTGCCCTCAATCTTTCCCAGCATCACGGGCTTTTCAAATGAGTCAGCTCTTCGCATCAGGTGGCCAAAATATTGGAGTTTCAGCTTCAACGTCAGTCCTTCCAGTGAACACCCAGGACTGATCTCCTTTAGGATGGAGTGGTTGGCTCTCCTTGCAGTCCAAGGGACTCTCAAGAGTCTTCAACACCACATTTCAAAAGCATCAATTCTTCGGCACTCAGCTTTCTTTATAGTCTAACTCTCACATCCATACATGACCACTGGAAAAACCATAACCTTGACTAGATGGGCCTTTGTTGGCAAAGTAATGCCTCTGCTTTTTAGTATGCTGTCATACCATCTAATACCCAGTTAATGATCAAATTTCCTTGATAGTATCAAAATGTTTTCTTAGAGCTGATGTGTTAAATCAGGATCCAAAGCCCTTAAGCAATCACAAAGACAACTAGATTTGCAAAACATCAATTAGGTTACAATTTACAGTCATGGCAGTAGGTAAACAAATAGAGAAAGGATTAGTTTTTTTTGAAGTGTCCACTTCTAGAATCTGAAAAACGTGTTGCAAGAGGTAAACACCTCCCTGTCCTGAGACACAGCACATGTGGCACTTCCCCACCACAACAGTCCCTGTGGCTGAGCTGGCCACGTCCCTGCATGCTCATCATGCACGAGGGCACAGACGCAAGGGCACAGCACTACAAAGACATGCAGAGTCCAGAGCCATGAACCTGTGGTCTGGTAAGAAAAGATCATCTGCTCAGATTCTTTGGAACTTGAACTGAAAATAAGAAAAAGCTTAAGTAGTTTACAGTGGGACAGAATGAAAAGACATGCAAGGTGGCTGGGCCATCCTGCCGGCAGAAGACCAGGGTGAGGATTTGGAACAGCTGCCCTGAACTCTGACGCCATGGATCCAAAGCCCCCGGTCAGTCCTGGGCTCCAGCTCTGGGCTCGTCTGTCCAAGCACAGCCGCAGAGGTCCTCTCACTCTGTTCTCCTCACTGTTCTCAGATACCTGCAGTGGTCTGCTGAGGCTGTCATCACAAAGTACCACAGAGGGGGCCTTCAAAACCAGAAAAGTGTTTTCTCAGTTTTAGACGTGAGAAGCCTGAGATTAAGCGGTCAGAGGGTGGGTTCCTTCAGAGCAATGAGAGGGACAATCTGATTTAGGTTTCCTGGGCCTTCTCCCCTCTGTGTGTGTGTCTGCATTCAAACGTCCTCTCCCTATAAGGACACCATCACACTGGGTTAAGGCCTATCGCAACGATCTCAATTTGGGCTTCCCAGGTGCTTGGTGGTAAAGAATACACCTGCCAATGCAGGAAATGAGTGTTCGATCTCTGGGTCAAGAAGATCCCTTGGAGAAGGAAATGGCAACTTACTCCAGTATTCTTGCCTGGTGAATCCCATGGAGAGAGGAGCCTGGCGGGCTACAGTCCGTGGCTGGCGAAGAGTCAGACACGACTGAGTGGCTGAGCACACATACACGTGACCTCATTGTAACCTCAGTCACCTCTTGGAGAGACACCATCTAAGGATGCCATCACATTCAAAGGCACCTGGGGTGTGGGCTGCAACTGTACAACTATAGACGGGGGGAGATACATTTTGGCCCACACAATATCTTTATTTATTTTTTTTTTTCCATTTATTTTTATTAGTTGGAGGCTAATTACTTTACATCATTGTAGTGGTTTTTGTCATACATTGAAATGAATTAGCCATGGATTTACATGTATTCCCCATCCCGGTCCCCCCTCCCACCTCCCTCTCCACCC